TGACTTGTGATATATAATATAACACTAGAGTAATTACATTTTTTTTACTATTTAGTAAGATAGATTATAAGAAAACCTGAGAAAACAATAGAAACAATAAGACCATTCCTTTTATATATAAAACTTATTTATTTACTGATCAACAAAATTCAATTTTTGTAATACATTTTAATTATTTCTGTATATAATATTATTTATTTGTTTAATGATATTGTATGTAATTAAATTTTACATTGAAATTATTAATACTTCAATTATAGAATGGATTATATGTAATCCAATGTGCTCTATCTTGTTCTGATGCAGATTTGTGGGAGGTGAAAAGACTTTTAAAAACTTCTGATGCTTTGGGGTCCTTAGCAACACTGTAGTTACCTTTTACTTTCTTATATGCTGGATCTTCTGCTTCATTTCTCTTGCTGTTTATTTTAATATTGGCAACTCTATCTTCCTTTTTAATTTTCTCCTTTGATACTTCATCTTGTTTAGCATCTTGAGTTCCAGAAGTATTTTCATCACATTTTCGTTTCTTTGATTTCTTTTGCATAGCCTTCCGATTTGTCATATTTTCTTCCATTTTTTTGAGATCATCAGCCTCCGAATTTATAATAACAATATCACTCTCACAGAACGGTTGTTGACATTGGTGACATATCTAAAAGGTTATTAAAATATATAGTTTATCAGATATGTTTACTATATCAAATATATTGTTTCCATAATCTCTATTTTGTTTAACATTATTACTTACCGTACTCTTAATCTCTTTAAGTGCACGCTCACTCATTACGCAACCACACGACCATAAGAAACAAAATTTATATTTGCCATTCATTTCTAATCCAATAACTGGGCAAATATATGGACTTTTACCTCCGTCTGTATAACAATCCCCTTTCTCAGCTTTATTAGCTTCAAATGCTGAATTTGCAGTTAAATTTAAATTTTTTACATCTTTCAAGGTTTTTATATGTTGTGCTGATTCTGGAAGTGTACTTCTATCAAGAAGACCTTCCAAAACAGACTCTTTACTATACAAACGTCCTAAACCACAACCAACCACTGGTGGCTGCAACGGTAGTTGTTTTATGGTACAATGTCGCCATTTAAATGCAAGTTCTGCTTCTTTATCTTTCTGTAAACAATTCAATACATAAATTTATTGTAAACAAATAAATTTATCAAATATTTACCAAACGATAAGATGTACTATTATAACCATTAATAGTTTCAGACGAAGTAAAATATAAAAGTTACCTGTTCTGGTTTCTTTTTTACTCTGACAAGCTCGTCTCTACGAGGAATAGTTCCACCATCACAACCCATGATAAGTATTAAATAAAATCTAGAAACAATCAAACCTGAGTAGAATCTAAACTCACTCACGTCAAATGATGTACTGAGCGATGTCGGAAATATGATGGTAGGTACAGAGACTGCTTCTCTCTGATTGGTTGACGCTTCACAGGTAAACAGTGCTGCCTCCACAGTGTTAGACAAAGAGAGGAAGTAGCGAGTGACCAAAACAGGAATAGTTTGTTCTAATAAATAAATAGAATAAATGTTCGAACAAATAGATAGAATTGTAAGATCTAGTAAATAGACGGAAGAGTTTATTGAATAATTTCGAACTAGTTCGGAATTATTACGTTTTGTAATAATTTTCTCTCGATCATTACCCATTCTCTTTCTAAATCAACTGCGCGGAACTGGATGCGCATTAATATGGTGGGGATAATAGAAGCGCTCGGAAAGAGAAGGTAGAAATCGCCTGCGCGATGAAGATACAATATTATACCGAGAAATTATGAGTCTCTGAGATCATCCGAAGTAACTTTTTTCTTAGCGCAAATGCAATCCGCGGCTTCTTTATTAGTTACACGAAAAACACTGACCAATAAGAGACGAGCTCGGCTGGTGCAAGACGGCCGAGCCAACGAGCGGAACTGGGCTTCGCTTGCACCAGCCAAGCTCATCTTTTATTGGTCAGTATTTTTCGTTAATAACTCGTAAGCAATGCTGCGGATTGCATTTGCGCTAAGGTGATAGTTACTTCAAATAATCACAGGAATCCCTCATTTCCCGGAAGTAACATAATTTTGGGACACCCTGTATTGACATATGTATGTGCATACGCAGTGCAATCAGTGTTTGTACGAAAACTGCCTACACAATGAATGAGTGCAGGCGACACAACCGTGGGAGTTCCATACATCGGCATGGCACGTCTACCGCATGAATATTATAATTCAGAGCTACGATCGCGACGCGTAGAGCCTCTATCAGGTTATCAGATCGTAGTTGAGAATTATAATGTTCATCTGATAGACGCGCCACGCCGCTGTACGAGGCTTCCTCCGCATACGTCACCACCCCACTCCTTGTAGCCAATATTCCTGTGAACATTGAACGAAAATTGAATTTCACCTATAAAGGTGGAATTACAGCATTTCTTTTTTTGAGGGAGAGAGAGTTAATTTCTAGTGCTCTTGCGTACATAAGTTTGTATGCCATCATATGCCATAAACATTGGTTTCAGAACTACCTAAAATTTAAAAAAATTCAAAATCACTGTCAATCTTTCAAGCAAATATTTACATTTTACATACATTTATAAAAAATCATTTTCTACCATATTTTCAAATATCGGTTTCACAATTATTTTCACTACATGTTTTAAATGTTACCGCGCTTTCCAACGTTTTCAATTTTTTTTTCACATTTAGTAAAGAAGGTTAATCAAGGTTACTCAATTTATAGACAATAACATCAGAAATATAAGTTCCATCTTTATAAGAATATTCGGTGTTAAAAGTAATACGTTTTGTCTAGAAATATGGTTGAGAACCCTTAAAATGTAGTGTTTGATAAAATTAAGATCAGTGTTACCAACCATTCTTTTATAATCAGATATTTTTCTAATGTGAGCGCATTTTATATGAAATATCGATATAAAAATATTTTGACAGATGGAAGAAATATGTATAGTCTCCTACGATTACTAGTTTTTCTGGTAAACACGAAATGATTAATCAATGAATTTGAATTGGACATTGGGATTGAAAGTTTGATGTCAAAGTTGCGTGTAGTGGCAATAATGTATAATCGTTGCAAGTACAAGATCTCGAGTCAGCTGATGGTGGCTAATGATGCTCCGTTTCAGTTTATGTTTTAGTTGCCGGGCGGGTCGTAAGGCAGCAGCACACAATTGTCATCACGTGAGGTCACAATGGTTTCTGATGGTTTCGGCGACGAGTGATTTAGAACAGCGAATGTTTTGAATTTCTTGGGAAATTCAAGCATCTGTCGCGTTCTCCAATTAAAGGTGTAATACGAGATATCTGGTAAGTGGAAACGATTTATTTTTTCCATGATAAATAAAACGAATACCAAAACGAAATTTTTTTTTCTTTCAAATGATAAAGAATCATTAATTTGTGTCTTGCTATTAGAAGATGTCGAAAGTTTCTGTCAGATTTTTCATACATGTATTTCGTAAATGCTAAACGTGACAATTCGTCACGTCGTTCTTGTGATACTGAACATCCATATAATTCAGAAGTGATCGTGTGACGTATTTCAAAGGAGGAGGACCGCGTTATCGATTTTACAAGAGGTTTATTAACGGGCGCCATTAGATCGTTTCGATAATAAGACCGATATCCTAGTAATCTCCTAGTATGGCTAACGACAATTCAAGGGCATTCGTTTTCGTATGCAATTTTGTGCACACTTGTCACTTCCCTATATCGATCACTATGCAAGTTCAGCGCGCCATTCTTGCACTAACTATATGTCACGTGGAAAGCGCGCCTAATTACATAATATCATTGTCGAAGAAATACACTGTGCCACACCCCCTTCTTTTATTTAACATTTCACGAATTCGTAGACTTTCGAGAGAACTCCTAGGACCCCGAATATTATACTATTGATTTCTTGATACATAGATGACAATAACTAGTTAATGTATAATGCTCTTAGATTCATATACATAGTTATATGTCAGATCGATATAATAACATGGATCGACAAGCCAAAGCAGGTGGTTGTTTACGAAACTTTAATTATATTTGTTTAAAAAGAATTTTTCTTGTTTAAAAATCATTAATTTACATAAGATATATCGTTATGGTAATACAAATTTTAATCGAAGTATGTCAAGTTTTGGTTATAGTTTAAATCATCAAATAATCAGTAATAAAATTAGTAATAGTATAAAGATGAAACTATTAAATATTTAACAGATGACAAAATTGTTTATTAATAAAAATTTTGTTGTATCATTATTACTTGTGATATCACATATTTATTATCAAACAGTATATATCATTTCAGGTATAACAAGTTATACACCTAGAAATATCATCTAAAATGACAGAATATTGGTTGATATCAGCACCAGGTGATGAAACATGTCAGGAGACATGGGAAATCATGAACAACCTAACATCCAAACAACATTCTCTATCAGTTAACTATAAATTCCATATCCCAGACTTAAAAGTTGGAACATTGGATCAACTGGTGGGTTTGTCAGATGATTTGGGAAAGCTCGACATTTATGTTGAACAAGTTACACGCAAGGTTGCAACATATTTGGGAGAAGTCTTAGAAGATCAAAGAGACAAGCTGCAAGAGAATCTAATGGCCAATAATAGTGAGTATAATAATGTTGTGCTTGTAAATTTAGAACTTGCTCTTTAATTTATATTTATATCTATTTTCTGGTAAAAGAGAATAGATTTTTTAAATATTCAGGGGTCCAAAATCATTTAATAATTTTTGTTCTGATATATGATATTTTATTAAATGCAAATGCTAAGTATAAATTTTATACATCATTGATTAAGAATATTGCATTTTTGGACCCTTGCAGACAGGTATCGATCGATTTTTTGTGTGAGATGTTATAACAGAACATAATATCGGTTGGCAGAAAAACATCAGTGAATACTATACACGACACAAAACATACACACTATTCAGAATTTTTCTTTAATAATGATCTCTTAAACATGTATCAGTTGATTTATTAAGATTTTTCATTTATTCATTGAAAATAATGATAGCACGACTTTAGAGTCTTTGATCCTTATTCTCCTGAATACCCTACATTAATAGATCAATTAGATGTAAACAAAATTTTGTCTGTGTATGCTAAATGTGATATATGAACAATTGTATTTCTTGCAATTACGTTTGATCAGA